GCAGCAACTTCTCATACAAGATCAAGGTCTTTTCTTTGATAAGGGAACATATTGTGGTGCTTCCTGTAACTAGGAGCATTGCATCAATGGGTGTTGATTTTATCCCTCCAGTAATATTAAAAATATAATATAGAAAGCCATGCACCTTCTGTCCAAATTGTTTCTTTTATCTGGACTGAAGGAATTATCAAGCAGTTGGATTTGATTGTAAACCGGAGCTTTCTGTTTATTGCTAGAGAGAAAGGCGTTTGTACTCAAATTAATATGATTGATCATTCAAAGCAATCAGTTCGGAATACTACTGACAGATTTGGAACGGCATGGAAATCTGCTTAATTTGTTCCCAAAATTTCCAGTTAGCAACCTGGCGACTTAATTTAAACTTTAAAACGCCGGCTCCTGACTCAGTGGTTTCAAACTAGTCAAGTTAAGGAAAACCTGCATTCCATTGAAGAAAAACTTTCGGAATTTCAATTTTTTCCTTTCAGTTGCTCAGATGTTTTCAGCGGGTAACAGTAACTTATTTCTTTGTTATGGGCGACGACAACCAAACAATTCTAAAGTATATCTAACAACATGATATTTAACCACAAGTCATAATCACTTGGTACATGCTATAATTCTATCTGCATGATGGGTATCGGCGATTCAGTGGTTATCTCAACTAGAACCGAAATCATATAATAATTCTACTGAAATCATTAAGTAACGTCTAATTTTTCAAATCCAACACGCTCGTGGCAACAATACTCAAAGTGTGGGTTGCGAAGTAGACTTACCTCCACATTGTGCACCGCCAAAAAAGTCAACAAACCGGCAATTGACTTCAAACTACCATATTTGACCAATTCCATAGTAATCACCTCACTTTACCTATTCTCTACCTTTGTGTCGGTCCGTCTCTTTTATATCTGTGAATCACTCTTCCGTTCCCCCTCTACTTTTGTAACTTTGATGATCCTCCCCTCTTTGAAGTCAGAAACCAATTAAAGGGCTAATGATAACTATCATTAAGCCTGCCATTTTGATAGAAGTATTTAAGGCGTTGCTAATGAATTGGGGGAAAAGGAGGCAGCTGTAAAAAATGGATATATTCCTCTGTAGCAAACCCCAGCACTAGAGCCACCGTAGAAACCCGACCAACTAAGAAATATAGGTAGACTAAGGAAATTTCTATAAGATTAACAGGAAAAAACAGACAGTCTCAAATGAGAAAGCAAAGTGATGATTTGGACAGTCTAATGAAGGAGAATAGGAAATATGACATCAAAGCCTATCAACGCCGAGAGGGAAAATGTAACGTTAAGCCCAGTAGGCCGTTGTGCGTTCTTTACTCGAAACATGAGCAACCACTACAAAGCAAACACCAAACAATTGGAACAACGTAGAATTATGAAAAACACCTAAGCCCTATTAACGAGCATAAAATTGAGTACTATTCCAAGCAAAACCCACCATGGTAGAAATAAACTTCAGTTAAGAAAGTACAGAAAATTAAGTCACAACAACTACTCGGCGGGGTGGCAAAACTTACTAAAATATAAACCAGTTAGACACATACATGGACAAAAAGAGTATTCATATAAACAAATTCATTTTATGAAAGCAAAATAGCATCCGCTGTTTGGGGAATAAATGTGCCTATAAAATATTGTAATTCTCTACTCAGATTTTTCGTTAAATGGCTCTAATTTGACAGGAGGAGGTGCAGGAGGTTGAACTGAAAATGAAGAACTCGAAGTATTTTCCTCAGGTCGAAGTATCACTTGACGACGTGTCAATCCATCGACTTCAACTACAAGATACCGATAAACCATCTCCTTACAGTCATTCTAAAATATAAGGCAGAAAAAAGTCAAGTTAATTAAGGAGTTTGAAATGTAGAATATTGGAGACAACGAACCTCGTAAAGTTCAAGATGAACAGTGCCAGTGGCATAAGCACCTTTTAGGTGGAAGCGCATGGTTAAATGCTTCTTTCCATGTGTATCTATCCATTCACTAGAGCTATAACAAAATATAATCGAAGTTACATTGAACAGGAGTAAAAATAGATTGAATTCGAACTAACTTACGCAATTTGAGTTCCTCTTCCCCTACGATTGACCTCTCCATATCCGGTTATTGAAGTTCCAAGCAAATCCTGAACACGATGGTCAGATATACAAATTTTTAAAGCATCCTCATAAACACGCGTTGGGCTTTTGCTTGAAAACAACTCATTTCCGATGATGTAGAAAATGAATCCAGTCAAAGCAATGCCTCCAACAACAATAGTTGAATACCAAAAATCACTAGCCCCTTGCTTTACTACAAAGCTGTTAGGAAACAGGAACAGAAAAGTACCTTTAGATGTGACAGAAAGGGCTGGATCATTAGAAACAGCAGCTCTAGAAACTACCTTCTTGGGAGCTTCATGAGTAGAGTTTTGTAAAAGGGAATGTGATGTGGAGAAGTAAATTAAAGAACGACGCAAAGCAGTCCTATTGAGGATGAATAATTTTTGAGCTAATGCCATTCCATTTGTCTTTCATTGGTCAGCTTAAAATTCCGCGTTTTCGAAAACGCCAACAAAGTGTTTTAAACTTCTATTATTTTTCGGTTTCGGTAAATTATTAAGTCAAAATGTCCCCACTCGTTTTCAATTTATTATACACATTTTATCAACAACAAAAAATTAGTTCAAATCTTTGAACGCTTATTTGTGGTTAACTTTAAAATAATTAGTGACTAAACCATAAAATTCACGTAGTGTCGAATAGAATAATTAGATTTATTTAAATCATCGAGAATATCTACAGTGCTTTGAATATTGATGCTCAGAGATTATTGCAGTGCGAATAGGCACTTGATCCAATAGTTTCAGGCAAGAATACTTTAGACCCTTGAATAGACGAATGACGTTGGAGATATTTTCGTATTAGACGATCTTTATTTCTACCAAGACTTCCAAATCGATGCGGTTCTGGATGTTCCACAGTTGTTACCTTTTGATTCCAAAGTGAGATTCTGCTTGCGCCTAAATTCGCCGAGGTCCTTCTATCATCTGCTTCTCCAGTATATTCGGCAGTCAAGCTTATATGGCCACGAGGAGCTCTCCAAGTAGCATAACCGCTATTTGGTATCCCATTGCCGATAGAAATGTCCAGATCGCCTTGTTTGGGCAAGAACACGCCACTTTGGTGTCGCGAACGTGGATAACGGCTCAGAGTTCCGTAAATTGAAGTTGTTGATTGAGCAGGAATAGGGGGCGATGGAATAGGAGAAACCATACGATCAACTTTGGTAGTCGAGCGGCTATTCTCAGATTGGACGGTAAGGGGGCAGAAAAGTGATCTTGAGGACGTGGAGCAAATAGAACGTCGTTCACCTAAATTTAAAAGGAATAAGTTATCCAATGCTTTTATTTTTCTTTAACTACTGATGGGTAGTTAGTCAAAGCAATTCATGTGCTATAATTTGTGATTTAATACCTTGTCAACGTTAATTCGTTTAGTTAAGTAAAATGCAACTTTCTGCCTACTGCACAATGCTCAAATTGCGATTGTTCAGCAGAATTCTTAGTTGCAATTAGTGCAGGCTTTAAAATTGAATGTTTTAGTGCATTTTAAGGACACAGAAGACGTCTAAATTATAACTATGCCCATGGCGGCGCAATTACAGCACATCCTATTGATTTTGACATAAACTAAAAAGTTAAAACTAAACTACGCTCATTCGATTTCTATTAAGTACATTTTTGTAATATTTCTGTGATCTTTGAAGCCCTTTTCTCTAGCGTGGAAACTACTGTGCTGAATTAACTATTTTACAAAGATAAAGTGCATTTTTGATCTTTAGATTTTGTTTTAATGGTATGACGTCCAAATCAAAGATCTGTTTATAGGAACCAATAAAATACCGCTACTAATACTTGAGCTTTTACACAGACGTAAGCGATTGGTTAAGTAAATATTAGATTTAATTTGATTGTGTAATGGTAAATGGACACAGAGATAAGATCTATTAGAGATGAGACTCATATCCTTCCAAATGCTTTTTGATGAATAAAGTTGCAATAAAAATCGAAAACAATTTAGGTAGAAGACGTTCTCAATGTGGCTAACTGATTCGAATAATCATTTGCTCTGGTGTTAAGCATATTTAAAATATAATTGAAGGTGATAATGTGTGATAAGAAAGGAAATATATCGTTCTGTCTTCTCATTTTCCTACAGAAACAAAACATTCGAATGGTCTCTAGGCCCTAAGCGATGACCCTCAAAGAAATGGGGAGAAACTATTTTTGTATTTATCAGTTTAAATGTGGTATGTTTTCATGCTATAGACACAGACTAATCTTTGAAGGAATCTTTTACTTACTGTTTGAAATCTATGGGGTATACAATTCTAATACGTTTAAACTAATCTATCTCATTACGCACTTGGATATTTTTGAACGTGCTGCGGTGATGCCGATCGCATTAGGGAGTAAATGAGGTCACGAAGGCAGAGACCTCTCGACTAATCAATAAGTTGTGACCATGGCATGGGGATTACTGCGGATAAGTTAATGCGTATTCGTATGGCAATCCTCTACAGATTTGGCAGATTGACTATCTTTCTTGTTTGAATATAAAAATTACTTAGGGTTTTTTATCGAGGAGGATGTAGATGCCCTCAAAGTTAAAGCTTGTAAACTTTCTAATAACACACTAAAGCGTTTTATTTACAACGAGCATTTCCTAACAACGGTGGTTTTAAAATTAGTCTTTTTAAACCACTCATTTAAGCAAAATATTTGCATACACACCTTAAGAAATGTCCCCAAAAAGGAAAAAAGGATATTTTAATAATAGGAAAAAACAAATTTCGGAATTATTCCTACAAAATTTTCAAAAACAAGATGTGTCATATGTGCTCACAAAGGGAATTATAAACTTCAAGGTCATGGTTTGTTCAGATGAGGTCTATAAAGTTTCTGCATCTGTTGAGTTATGAGCCAGCAGGGAAAAGTAATACACCTATCTCTCATGTCATTGCCTGAATAAAGGTAACAACTGCGATTCCTGTTAACTAAAAACACAGTTTATGAGAGAGTGAAAAGCTATTTGGATATAATTAAGCTCTTGATGAGGAACAATACTTTGCAATAATAATACGAATCAAACTGTAAGTATTTATTTACAATACCTAAATTAATTTGAATGCCACAAATCATAAATTGAAAGTTTTCAATAAATTATGCTTTTGTGTCAAAGCTGAACATACTACAGCAAAGTAATTGGAAGTTTGGACTACATTTGCAAACATCATGACAACAGGTAAAACCACGAGAATTGAGACACGCCTTGACATTTGGACATTAAGTATCGGGACTGAATTGCTTTTACTAAGAAGTAAAACTGAATTTTGTTGACCAAATAATATAAATATAATAAGCTGGTACACGATCAAAACAGGTCCACAAAAATTAAATATTTGATTTTTATTAGATGTTTCATATTTATTCTTAACAACTCAATTGGATAAAGAATTTCATTTTCACATATTGAAAGCGGAATAAAATCCTAATCAAGAATCTAGGGCTTTTGAGTGTCAGCGTTTGTTATGACTCATTTTACCCAAATTTGATGGAATTAAAAATACTAAGGGGCGGGATACTGTTTAAGTTGTTCATTTTATTTACAACACCTTCCCTATCGTCTTTAACGGAAAGCGGGCACTGGCTTAACCCCAGATTTTGATTTGAAATATTCATTATCTAATTAAAATGTCTCTATTGCGAATAACTTACGTGAACGCTCCAGAGGTGGGAGTAGACGTGGAGATAGACCTTTGAACATCCATGGACCAGTGTAATGGTGTGGGGGTTTCTTTTCTTCCTCCGATTTACCGGACACCTCCTTTCGAGAGAGACTACTTCGAAGTTCGTATTGGACCTGCTGACTTTCCTCAGCATAGATGCTTCTGCGCGTTGGAAAGACCTGCAAAATTTAGCGTAGGAAAGCATTCTAACAAAGAGAATAGCGAACTGTTTTCCATTTACAAGAATTTTTCTTATTTCCTTACTTTACCGTCTTCTTCCACCAGATCAGCATCATCTAACTGGAATTGGATGGCTTCATGGTTTTCTATGATGCTAATGTAAAGTAAGAAGACGACGAACTGGGACTAAATAGCTGAAATGTTGCGTTTATTAAAGAGGCTGCTCAATATGTGAGAGAACTCATTAATGACTGTTGTCTCGATAATTTTCTGGCTGAAATGAAAATACTTGCGTGATCTAAAATATGCTACAGTTAAATAGACTCACAAAGCCTATACCAAAACTTGAATAAATTATTCAAAACAAATTCGTAGCGCACGAATGAGCAATGTATTTTGCGCATTTTTAGATACTCTTAATTCGCTTGATATTTTTCTGAAATAAAAATAATCTAATCAGTATTTATTTGAAAAAGAAGGAAAAGCAAAAGTTTGTTTTTTTTAATAAATTAAGGTGAGTTTAATTAAATAACTCGTCAAGAATCTAGGACTGTCTGTTAGACGTGGAAATCAATGACGAAGCAAAAATTAGAATTGCAGTCATTTGCACAGAGTTGGAAATCCCTTCTTGCGAAAATCTATCAAATTAGTCAGGTTGAATTCAAATGACTTGACAGAAATGGTGCATTTGAAGACCCTTAGAGATTTTACATTAAAAAAGCATAATTTGAAAGAATACTCAGCTTTCCAAGTTATTGCATGATCCCAAACCATGACAGGGGTTATTTGTTTGGCTATAAATTTATAATTCAAGGATTAGCTGTCAATTTCACTCGCATTAATGTATTCTGCTATGAGTTTTGGCAAGACTAACCCATTTTCCCCGATGTGACGTGTGATTTTCTTCATCAATCGATGACGTAGCTTCTATGCAACCAAGCACTGGAGAACTGGACGCAGACGAAGAAGATGGGGAAAGTCGTGACATTCTTCTAAAAGGCGTCACACCCCGAGTAACAAAAATCTTCGGTGGATCTCGAATTAGAGGTATGTGCAGTAACTCCTTCTTCCCCTTCTCTTCTTCCTCCCTCTCCTTGAAATCTTCCAGTTCTACGTTGGATGAAATACAATACTTAACAACAGGCTGCTGTTTCTGAGAGGACTTTGACTTAGAATATGTAAGCGGAGACTGAGTGTCCTGAATATTAATTGATTTCCCAGTAGTCCCTGAGAGTCTTCGGGTGTTTTGAGCTGTACTCGGTTTTATCTCAAGCTGTTTTTTGCGATTTTCTGCTTTACGAATGGCGACATCTACGTCACTGCCTGAAGGGGAAGAATCTTGCCCAGGTTCACCTTTATGAACCAACATACTACTTGGTCTTGCAAAGGTTGGCTTGAAGTTGTCTTCATTTGGACTATACCTTAGGGGAGGAGAAGGAGGTCTATGCAGAGAATCAGAGTTCTCTTCATTATCACAGTGAATTTTGATCAAACTTTGGGGTCGAGAGGTCAGTCCTCTTGCTGGAGTATGGCTTCTATGGCTGGTTGACAGCTTGTATGTAGACTGCGAACGCATCCCTGATTCTTGATTATTCTTTTCAATAATACTTTTATGGAAACGGACAAAACTCTTGAAATTGGAGTTAGAATGAGTGGTTTCCTCGGAACCCAACATGGGATTCGCTGGTTCTACAACGGGAAGGGTATCTGGAGGAGGCGGCGAGGGCAATGGTGGAGAAGGAAGAGGAAATGAATTTGAGTCACTTGGGCTATAAGATTCATTAAAAATGGAGTTGGTTCGTGTGAGGAAGTGGTGGTTGTTGGATGTTGGACCTGAAGTGTGACGTTGTCGCGGATATACATCTAGGGAAATAAAAGGCTTGTAAATGTTGTATCCTTTGCTTTGAATTTATTATTTAAATTTAAATGAAATGCTTAAGTAGGGGTTTGGGGAAGGTATTCCTATGATTGTTAACCCCCTTAAATTAACGTCAAAAGCAAATATTGAAAATAATGAACGCCAATACCTATGTGGTCCGGTCTCCCGTGGTCTTAATTATTCTCAGGTGGGTCATTTTAGTAAACTCATAAATACTGTGAGGCCACATGTCTAAATATCGCAGACACTTTTCCCTCTCACATTTTGCTTCCCTCTATTAGTTAAGATGGTTAACAACAAAAGGTATTCGACATGCTTTAAGTAAAATTCTCCTTCTCAAGTAAAGTTATTCGGACACAACAAGGGTTTAAAGAAGGGAGTTTGGACATAATTGCAATCACCTTATATTTGGCATTACCAAATAAAGGGAGAATATTTCTAAAGGTAAATTAATATGCAGAAAACGCCTGACAGAACCCTCTCTTCTTTAAATCTGAGATCCCTCTATCCCAGTCTCAAACTTTTCTACTCTAATGAATCTTTGAATAAACGGACTCATTAATATTTAAAGTACTCATGCAGTGGTATTAGATTAGTCAAGCCAGATATCGTGAGATTAATGGCCAATGGTTAACAACCGGTGATTTTGATGACCAACTACACTGGTAAACAGGGGGTTTAGTTGACTGCGAGTTTTGAGTCAATGAGGCTACATTGCACCTTTTGTTTCTTTTATTAGATTCTTATTCACAACATTTCAGGAGTTTTCTTTTTTTACTATCTTTTCAGAGAAAATAGTTGTCCTTTATTTATAAGTAGGCAAGACTATGTGTAAATTGCAATTTTACCCTAAATGCATACCAAGTTTAGAGCTGATTATACCAAAGTACCTGAAAGCCTACCCATATCAGCCAGTTTGTGATTTTAGGAAATCAGCTCAAGAGGAGGGGGGGGGGGTGATTTACTCATTTTTATGAGAATTTTAAGATCAGGCAAAAGTCGCAGCCAGAACAGGAGCAACGATGTATGAAGCTGCAGGACAAAACGAGGCTCGTGCGCTATCAACGGAATCGTTATTTCTGTGGTGCAATGAGAGATGATTGATTGATTCAAATTCTATAAAGGACATAGATGCTTGAAACATTACGCAGCACTATATCAGTCTCAAACGTTAATGCCAGATTAAATGTAGACCTCATGAAAGGATAGTAGCATATATTCTTTCTAACACGTGAGAAAAAATGGAGTCCTATGCACTTGGCCCCCTAGTCCATCCAATATAACTTCAACGTGACCATAGGTAGAATTCAGTGAGCATCAATGTCATAAACTTTTATGGAAAAGCGGAATTGACGACGATAAAATCTCACCAAGAGTTGAATCCTGTCTTTGATCGTTCCTTTTCACTCTACGTAGAGGAAAAGCGGATCTATTCCGTATCTGCGTCAGAATATCTTCTTGGATTCGTCTCAAGTCTACATCCATTTGGTTCTCGACAATGGAGACCTTTTTGGTACTTCCACGCTCTCCTCCTGTCCTACGTAGCATCTTGAGGTGTCTTCATCCGATGAATGAGCGGTTCTCAACTCCAGTTTGACCCATGCTATTTCAACGAGTGCGCTGATTGGCCTAATTGGTAGACAGAGAGGCGCAGTAGCATTGCGCTGATATGAGGTCATACTTGACTTAGTCAGGCCACTTTGATGTTCGCATTTTATACCTACTCATACTTGAAGAAGATTAAGTGTGGATCAGTTAGATGACTAACCTGCGTTTCTGCGCAAACTGCAAAAGCCTATTCTTTACATCTTACAGAAATTAAAATATTACCATCAATTGGTACGCAGATTTCTCGTGACGGCTGTGAACTCTGAGAGTGTACGCAATTTGATTCATGGCTGAATTAGTGAGAATGCATCATTTCTAAATGATATTCATTGAAGCTTTGAACATCAAAATGCATTGGTTTCTTCTAATTTAAGATTTAGTAATAGTGAAAATGTGACTACAAACCTTTTCAATTTCACGGCCCATATACGTCCACTTCTAAAGTTAATTTTCTCAATACGAAATATTCGAATTCTTGCATACTATTGAGGTGGAGATTAAAATTAGAGTCGCTAAAATCAATCCATGCGTACAACAACCCTACTTTAAGGTTTAATTATCACCGTTCCAGTATTTAAGCTTAATATCTGTCGCTATGGTCCAAGTACCATTTATTCATTTATATCAAATGGCAGGCGTTTCGATAGTTATCATTAGCCATTTAGCTGACTTCAGGCTTCACAGAGGGGAGGAGGAACATCAAAGTGGAAAAAAAGTCGAGAGGGGTGGTTGGGGGACAGAAGAGTGTTTCAAAGATGTAAAAGAGACACACACAAAGGTAGGAAAAAGGTGAGGTGTGTACTGTGGAATTAGTCGAATATGACATACGGTGGGATGACTGCAGTTTGAAGTGAGAAGTCAACTGCCGGTTAATAGACTTTTTTGCCGTATGAGTATACGTTGCCCAGGGTGCACCACGTGGAGGCAAGTCTATCGCACACCCCGGTCCAAGTATCATAAAGATGCCATTAGATCATAGACAGAGGGAGAACAAAACCTCCTTCTTAGGAGTGAAGAAGGCCATTGCCCAGAC